GTGAATTTTCTATCCGGGAACGCTCCAGCGATGTACTCCAATTTCGAAATCGAAGTACGAGGCCTGTGCAATAGATCGAAAGCCGATGATTTGGAAACTCTTCTCCATCACTGGGAAATAGACGAGAGCAAGGCAGTCAAGATAAGTCTCCTGATCTTATTCCGAGACCATGTAGACTGGAATTATGATGGTAGTGGTGAGAGTCAACCCTACGATACATTCCATATGTACATTCATTTACGGAACCCAGTACCTCAAACCTTCTGGCTATTTCGATATGCTGAACAGTTCTTTGGACCAATAAGATATCTCGAAGAAGAACCCGATTGGAACAACCTCATGGAGACATCCGATGATATTACATCTTTTTACGAAGCGCCATAAACGCGCTCAGCTTATGAGCGATTTACTCTGACTGAGTCAGTAGAATAGTCATTCTCCAGGAGTCTCATTCTTGATGATTATTGATTATATCATCATGGTGATTTTTTTCGCTTGATTTCAACTAGATCAAAACACGTGCGAACTTCAGGCTCATGGGTTTTGAAATTACCGTCTCTAATCGCACCCGTAGCGAAGCACGGGTAGGATGGGCTAGTCAACAATAAATTCAAGAATATTACTTCAGAGACTATGGAAGTCGAAGCTCGGCTGGGATTCTCCTTCAGAAGGTACCCATCTAATCGAATACACGATTTTTACTAATTTACTCAATAACAGCGACTTGTCAATCAAGAGACATTTCCGGACGACAACACACCCTGGTCCGCGCAGGGAGCTGCACGCATTCTCAGACGCACGCCTCGTCGCTTACGGATACGTGGTGTACCTTCTTCAAAGGAGACTTCTTCCTAGAAGTCTTCAAAAATTCACCCCAAGACTCATTTCGTTATGGCGAAAGCAAAAGTCAGCCCGGTCAGGCCAATCTCCATCCACAGTCTGGAGCTCCTCGGGGCACTCCTAGCAGCAAGACTGGTTAGCACAATCAACAACCACATCGACTTCCAAATCGACTCAACACATCTAATACGGACAATTCCAGCGTGTTAGGCTGGGTAACATCGAAACCCGAAAAATGGAAACCTTACGTAGCCAATCGCATTCGCCGAATCCACTCCTTGGTCGGTCAGACTGACTGGAAATACGTCAAATCGGAAGAGAACCCCGCCGACCTCATCTCGCGTGGGGCAGACGCCCCGTCGGCCCTAAACAAACTCCTGTGGACACAGGGACCTCATTGGCTGAGAAGCTCGGCGCAGATCAAGTCAACCCTCCCGGCGAACATCCGTATAGGCGACACATCGGAAACTCTATTCGACTTAGAGCGTTGTCAGAACATTACTTGCATGGTCTCGTCAACCAGCACGAATACCAACGAAATATTCTTCGAGAACAGCTTCTCTCCCTGGCGGAAAGTGATCCGCTTCTGGGCACTGATGCAGCGTCTAATTCGGGAGGCTCAAGGAGCGAAGGATAGAGTTTCCCAAGGAATTGCATTTCGCGCGGCCACTCCACACAGAAGAAGCATTTCTTTCGACCCGAACGGAATGATTTCAGCAAGACTATCTCTGATACAGCTGATCCAAAAATCGTACTTACAGGAAGAATACGCAAACAATTGCAAAAATATAAAACCAAGGAGCCTAATTTACCAATACAATCCATTCATAGACGAATCGGGCATTATCCGTGTGGCGTACACACCTCTCAGAAGAGGTCCTGAGCCTCGAAGGAGAATGAGGACACAAGATTTGAACTTGTCGGATCCACGTGGGGTGTGCCGCGCAAACGAGATAACTCCCGGGGAGATCCCAAAGTGATGGAAACTCTCCTGGAGATGATGGGATGATAACGTCGGAGGGATCGAACCTCCGGTCGCGAACTTGATTGAACTTGATCACTTGGGAAACACTCGGGATTTGAACCCAAAACTGAGATTCCCGAGGAGCGCTGCGGCTGCCTCGGTACCTTGATCGTGATAACTGATGATGATCAGGCGGCGTTCTCTGCCACTGTCGCCACTGACGACCGCAGTGTTTTTAACACCCCTCTGCACTCGTCCAGCTGATTGAAAAGACAGCTGACGCGAGGCAGCTGACGGTCAGCGCTGCGCTGATAGACGTACCTACGCGCTTGCACACCCCAGTGCTTATATATTGACGTTCATAAATATAATAATGGGACTGCTTGTCCTGGACAATGGATGGCGGATTAACCGCTGAATAGAATATTTATAATGAATGACAGTTACTCGTTCCCGACTCGATCTCTCTGTGTGTTATGTGCTGATTGTATGGTGTACTGATTGGGCGAGGTGTGTGTTTTCTGCAAGCTGTGACGCGACGGCTACCTCCGTCCGTGACAGTCCCCCCCCGAATTCCGGGAAGACTCCACGAGGAGCCGCGGAATTCTGTTGACCAGCAAGTTGCGACTTAGAGGGACCACTGCTCCCCGCTTCGAAAACTCGCGCCAATGTAGATCGCGCCGCCTGACGGCAAGTTCTGCTCTCTGGTGCGCTGATCCGATTATTCCTTTCCATGCGCGGTCTCGTCGGAAGTGGATCTGTGATCAAGTGTGTTCCTCATCTTTGAAGAATGGCTGAAGAAGCTCCAGGAGCCCGCAGATCTGGACATCCTTACTTTCTCACCCCTCTTGGCTTGGTCTACAAGCTGTTGTTGGAGAATGATCTGAAGAATACACATCTTCGTGTTCGCGATTGTCAGTACATTGCAAGGCATTTCTGGTTTGACCTTACTGACGAAGAACGGCAGCCGTTCAGGGATTTCTCCCGTTTTCTCTTAAGGAGAACGACCACTCGGCCGCCGGAGCCCCTGTTGAGCCGACAGTTCCGCTATCGTCCACCACTCTTTGCGGCCCATGCCGGTGCCTACCTTCGGCTTCTGGATAATATGCAGACTGGCGAATCCCATCAACTCACGGTGCCTCTTGATCGTGAGCCGATTAACATCTCCTGGCCGGATATCCATGGTTCTGACGAGATAGCCGAGGGAAACGAAAGGCGGCGAGCCTATCTACAGCAGTTGATCCAGGATCCTCGCATCGCGCCGCAACATGAGCGGCCGCCAAGGCCGGTCGACCCCCGGACCGGGCAATATGTGTTGCCGCCTACCCCACCGGCTCCTGTCCAGCGTGTTCGACGCCGTCCGCCGGCCCAGCTTTCTCCGGGCCTGGCCGATGTTCTGGTCAGCTTGCGGAACGCCAGGCGTTCCGGCAGGAGTTAAATCTTCCTCCAATGTGTTCCAAATTATTTCTTCGACAAAATAAATGTCTGTGTGATTAAGACTCAGTTTTACTTTTTGGGAGATCGGGTCGGTTCTCAAGAAATGCCTAGTTCGGCTGGGAATGCTCTATCGGGAAGAGTTTCGTGATGGGACGGTTGAAGATTTGGCCCGTGGCCGTCTTGATTGTGCATGATTTCGATTTTCTAGGTGCGGACTCGTTCTTGAGTGCTATGACCTTACAGAGGGCCAATACGCCCGGTTGGCGTTCGAATCTTCCAGCAGACAAATGTCGCCGATTTTCAGCGGCCTGGCCGGAATGGGGAGTCTGTTATGAGCAGATCTTAGGTAGCTCAGGTATTCGCGGTGGAATCTTTTTCCAGAATGAGTTTTAGGATCCTCTGTTGGTAGGTCCATCTCCTGGAGAAAATTATCTTGTCCGAATCCTTGGTTCTCATCGGGTTGGCCGCATGCTGCGGAAAGAATGTATCTCCTCGATAACCGTGCAAAAGGTCCATCGGGCTGAGGGCTTCTGTGGAGTCGAGACCTGATGCTACCGCCGTGATCGGGCGTTTATTTATCATCAGCTCGATGTTGCTCAGAATCACCTCCAGGTCCCGGAAGTGGGGAACTGATGTTCCGAGAACTTTCCTCAGCGGTCGCTTGACCGATTGCACGAGGCGCTCGTAGAAGCCGCCATGCGAAGGGGAGTTCGGAGTTATGAAGTTCCATCTGATGAATTTGTCTGCGAGCCATTTCTTTATTTCTCCGTTGATGATGTGATCGTACAGGAGTTTGAGTTCCTTTGCTGTCCTCTGGAACGATAAGCCATTGTCTGAAGTGATCGTGGTCACCGACGGGTATCGGTTCACGAATTTTTGTAGAGCACCGAGGACCTCTGAGGTCGACATGTCGGTTGTTAGCTCGAGATGGACCGCTCGGGTGACCGCGCATACGAAAAGGAGAATGTAGCTTTTCGCTTTTTCGCCTGAATCGTTCTTGTATTTTATGGGGCCGGCGAAGTCACAACCTGTGTGGTAGAATGGTGGGGCCGTTTCCAGCCTGAACGCTGGCAACGGAGCCATTGGGAGGCTTGCGGCCTGGCCGTGAAAGATTTTGCATGTAGCGCAAGAGGAGATGACCTGTCTCGCTAGTTTCCTTGCGTGAATAATGAGAAATTCTTCTCTGAGAATATGTAGAAGGCCGGAAACGCCTCCGGAGTGTAGGCATTTCTTCTCGTGGATGTATCTGACGATAAGTCTGGAGAGATTACAGTCCGCTGGGAGGATGATCGGAAATTTCTGTTCCTGTGACAACTCCGGAGCGAATTCTAGCCGAGTCCTGCAGCGGAGCAGGCCGTCATCGCCCTTGAACGGGTTGAATTGGTAGAGAATGCTCTTGGGTCTGACCCTGATGTTGTCTGAATTGATTTCTTCGGGA